ACGTTTATATAGATTAACTTTGGTTATAGGCAATATAGATTAACTTTAGTTTTCTTGATTTAATTTACTCTTTTTTTTTATTCTTAAAATTAACAGATGAGTTAAAGATGAGTTAAATCGAAAAAAGTTAATGAAGTCTATATTTTTATTTAATTACATCAATAATTAGAAATAAGTAGAAAATAGCAAAACAAAAAAGTTTATAACAAGAGTCTGAAGCAAAGTAAACTTTGAGTTGAAAATTTAATTATTTTAACTTATTATTTCAATTATCATGACTTATTTTACTAATACCTCTTATCATTATGCAGCAATTATTTTTATTTTTATATAATACAATTTCTTTTGTTTATATTAGTTTTTGAATGAATTAATTATTTTTCTTTCTATTATAAAAGAATATATTAAAATTTTTATTTCTAGACATTATTTATTATATTTTTATTATTATTTTTTTTTAAACTTTCTAGATATTATAAAATTGTAAGAATTTAAATGAAAAATATATATTCGTGTGTATTTCAGTTCATATAGTTTCATATTTGTTTCATAACAGACGTTTCATAACGTTTACAACTATGAAGAACGGGTTGCATACAATCGGATTATAAAGATAAATATAATTGAGAATCATACTTTTCTTGTGCTAATCGGCGACGTGTTAAAACAATAAAGATAGTGGGTAAAAATAGTTTTGACCTTTTTAATTTTCATAGCCTTTTCTGTATTCCAGTCACGTGTTGCTACTTTTTATGACAAGATAAAAGTCACAAAAACATTGTCACTAACGTTTCATTATATTATATTACAAACATTGTTATAAATATTAATTATAATATCGCATCGTATGTAAAACAATACATTTTATTAATAACCTCATTAATAATGAAAAATATATTGGGCGTAATTAAGTATATAATTAAGCACGACACTCATATATGCACACGCGCACGCGCACGTCTTATTATTTTATTTCTATATTTATAAAATTTGAATAAATACTTTAAAAAGATATATATATAAATATATAAATAAATTTGATATATGTATTGAAATATATATATTTTTTAAATCATAAAATTCAAATAAAACATAAAAAATAATTCAGTAACATTTTTATTTCTAATATTATTAATTACAAAAAAGATTATTAATTCACTGAAAGTTGTAAGCTAAGTAATATATATTTCTGAAATAGATCGTTTGATAAAAAATATTATTTGTCTTATATTTCCAATAATACTTATTATTATTATTATTATATTTGAGAAATTTAATGAATGTTTTTCAAAAAATTAATTTATCTTAAAAATAAAAATTGCTATTCATGTCAATTTTTTAATAAAAGTTCATCTATATTACAAAATATGTAAACTTTGTTTATTTTTTTATCAATTCCTGTTTTTAAACTCGTGATAGAAAGAAGATTTAAAAAATGGTACATCTAATATTATGGTTAAAAATAGTACAACCAATGTTAAAGCATATTTGCATGTCACACAGTGTATCTATTGTATCTAATACATAAGATAAGGAATGTATACATTTCGTAAAAAAAAATCTCTCAACTGAGTAATATGTACATGGCTTTGTCACGTTCGTATTTTTAAGAATATATGCATTACACGTCTATATAAATGAGCAGAAAGTTTGCTTAAGACTGTAATAGTTACTGAGTTCGTGGCACGACATCTAATAATATTAAAATAACAATTTTTGTTGTAGTATAAGTGATATAGATAATTGATAAGGTCAAATATAAGATGTTACGTACAGGTATTTTGGTCGGATTACTGAGTTTGTTTGGAACAATTTTAGCAAAGGTAAATTTATAAAATATTAAGGAAGAGAAAGAGAGAAAAAATACAATTGAGAAATAATATGTAACTCATTCAGGATTTAGCGCCACATGATGGATTACATTATAGCGTTCCATCTATGAATGATCATATCTTACGAACTAAAAGATTTGGCTTTTCTGTTCTGAACGAAATGCGTCAAAGATTCTGTCATTCATTTTGCACATCTGCTGCTGAAACTAAGCCATATTTTATAAATATTGCATGTGCTGTGAAATGTCCTGAATTATATTTACCACAAGGTTCGACAACACAAGGTACATTTTATACATTAATATCAATTTCAATAATTAGATTTCTGATAATAAAAAATGGTAAATATTACCAAAAAATCAGAATATCCAAAAAATTAAGTAAGATATATCCATTAATCATTTATATAAAAATATTAAAGTGAAATGAATTCTTAATTTTTCATCATAATCCGTATGCCATTGGTCTTTTACTAATTTTTTATATGTGATTTTTTTATTAATAAAACTTTTACGTATATATACCTTTAATACGTATATATATTTTATGTATTTTTACGTATATACCTTTAATAAGTGTATTACAATAATTAAATTTAAATTCTTTTGTTTACAAATAACAATAAAAAATAAAAAATAGAAATTTATTACTATCAGATAAATTAATGTTTTCATCATAAAATATGAAGTCAAATATGATACATATATAGATAAAAAAAATTTTCAATTTAATAAAATTTTGCAAATTTAAAATAATTATTAATAAAATTTTTACTAATATAATAATTTATTTTTTTAAATATTTACAAATATTTTTAATTACTAATATAATAACTTATTTTTTAAAAAAAGCATTGATAAATTAATTATTTTTGATAAGGTACAATGACAACTACATCATCTCCAAGCGGCCCATCTCCGGTTGGCCCACCTCCGGTCGCCCCCATCCCCCGGGCGCTCCATCGCCAAGCGGCCCATCTCCAGTCGCCCCA